TAAGTAGAGAGATTTAAATGGTCTCGAGGAATAGAAGTTTTCAAAATAGAAGTATTGGACATAAGTGTTTCAAGACTTGGTCCCAGAATTCGAAATTCAAAATCATAACGGCACGTTAGATAATTGATTATCTTAAGTGATAATCGATTATCACGAGCCTTTATTTTACAAAGGAGTAAGCTTGGATCGGGATAATCGATTATCCTGCGAGATAATCCATTATTTCGGTTGGGATAATTTATTATCAACTTAGATAATCAATTCCGGCAAGTTTTTCTAGAGAAAACATGTTTCAATATAGGATAATCAATTATCTGAATGATAATCAATTATCACAAAGTGGTTTTGATAAAATTGAACTTTCGGAGGATGAGCCATGTGTTAGCTATCTTAGACTCTAATTTAGGAAGCCTTCATTTCACTTCTCCACACCTCAAACTCTTGAATCCAAGCATTCTAGCATCAATCAAGCCTTCTTGCCTTCTCCTAACCTCACTTGTCTTCCAAAACTCTCTTGTTTTTCTTCTAATCCTAAAATGGCCTAATCTTCTCGTGCTAAAATTCCCACAAGAAGAAGATCTGCTCCTGCCTCTCATCCTCATCCTAATTCTGTCAAAGGATAGATCTCAGATGATGAGGGCCGACAGGAATTTCTCACCTTCTGGAAGGAAAGAGGTATCATTACTCCAAAATTCATTATTGGTGATCAATTCATCAATAGAGGATTTAATTTTCCGAATCTTCTTGATATTCAAGGTGTCCTCCCTTTTATCCAAATGCAAGGTACATACTACCCTGATTTAGTTAGGGTATTTTATTCTCATTTCAAATTTAGGCATCAAGTAGCCACTTCTCATGTCAAGGGTGTGACTATCATCCTTGATGATGATATATGGGAAAATGTTGCACATTTTAATGTAAGAGATGATGTTATTAACATTTTTGCGGAGTTAGAGGATTTTGACAGAATTATGGCTTACCGTTCTTTTCTCCGCAACCCCTCCATGGAGATTGGGCGTCTTCTTCTAGCCGGCCCATTAAAGAAGGAGGAATGTCTGCTACTGCATCTACTTGTCTGGATTTTATGTCCCCGGGCAACCAACCCTGCCCAATGCTCATCCATAGATCTTCACATTATTCATGCAATCATGAATAATGAGCCAATCGATTGGGGCAGCCTTGTCACAATGACCATGCTGAAGGCAAAGCGTCATCCTACTTTTAAAATTCCCTATGCTCTTATTATCTCTCGCATTTTAGAGTATAAAGGAGTCAATGTTGAAGGGGAACAAAAGGTAAGAACCACAAACTCAAACCGAATGTTTGATAGTACGCTAACTCAACTTCAAATGGTATGAGCCAATAACATTTATGTTCACAAAGACGACGTTCCCAACATGGCTGACAATGCTGAAGATTCTGACGAAGAGATGCCTCCTACTACTGAGTTTCCCTCTGAACATATTCATAATGCTGGAACATCTTTTGTCCCTCCTGCATCCCGACAATCTATGGAAGAGATGTTGTTTGATATGAATCAGAAAATGCAAGAATTTTTCACCCTCTCTGAAGTACGGCATGAGGAAATCATTCGACGTATCTCTGATGTAGATGATAAGGTCTGTAACCTAGAGGATAGGTTTGACGCTCAGTTCAATAGCGATGCAAGTGAAGAGTTTTAATCTCTTCCACATATCTCTTTGTTTGTAATGACTTTACTTTATGAAATAAAATTGGTATTTCTTTGCTTTCTTTGAGGGGGAGTTATTCTGTAAATTATGCATCTATTGAGGGGGAGCTTTCAATTTTTTAATCATAATCAAAATAAGGGGAGAAATTTATTTAAAGCCTCTTATGTTTATTAAATTTAAATATTATCTGGTATGTTTAATGTTTTTGTTAGTGTGACAAATAAAACAGGTTATTATAGGGCTTTAAAAGAAAATTTTGATCATCATCAAAAAGGGGGAGATTGTTGAAACATACAAGGATATGAATGTTGAACATACATGATTATGAAGCCAGTAGATTTTGATGATGATTCAAGAACAAAGGACTTAAAGATTTGAAGACTTGTAATATTATGTAATAACTCTGTTTTGATGATTTTGAGTCTGTAATATTAGAGTCTAAGACAGCCAGCACATAGTCTACTCTTTAGAAGCTTCAAAAACTCATTTTTATCAAAAACACACTGGATTAATCGATTAAAAGGCAGGATAATCGATTATTACAGAGAGAAACCATTTTATGTATCAACTCTCTGGAATAATCGATTAAAGCTCCTGTTAATCGATTAATAGGGTTGTTAATCGATTAACAGCTCAAATAATCGATTAAATCGCGTGGTTATGGGTTCCTGGTGATTTTGGCTCTGTAATAATCGATTAACACTCAAGATAATCAATTATTTCAGTCAGATATGTGTTTTGAATTTCAAAATTGAACCAAGTTTCGAAAACCCTAGTCCCAATTCACCAGGTTTTGAAAATTCCCAATTCCCAAACCCTAATCCGTATACTTAAGGTCCTTTAAGGCTCTCTTCAAATTGAACAACCTTTTTCAAATAAAAGTTGAGAGTTGTGACTGTTAGAGAACTGTTTGTTGGAAAAAGGGGCTTTTGGAACCTAGTGTGGGCTAGAAGCGATAAGAATCACTAAGTGGGTTTTCTTGGTGGATTGTGTGTTATGCTGTCTCTAGGAAAACTGTTTTTCATCTCTTGTGTGACTCAAGAGAGGTGTTTTCGTTACCTTATCTTTTCAATTTTTATCTGTTTGTAAAATTGTTAATATAGTGATAGTGTTAATCCTCTGTTTGAGTGATTAGAAACTGGATGTAGGGTCTTTTGATCTGAACCAGTATAAATCATCTGTGTAAGACTCTATCCTTACTCTATTTACTTTACATAACATTTGAATCGGTAAAATTTGGAGAAATTTTTAAAACCCTAATTTTTGTTAAGAAACCAATTCAACCCCTCTTGGTTTTTGTCCGGATACGCAAACATTTCACTGCGCGATTCTAATAAACCAAAGTAATCAGTTAAATGGATTTTAAGTAATTATTTTAACTGATATTATATGAGCTTTATCAGTTAAAAAGTTCTTAACACTTACATAATAGGTTTTTAACTAATAAGTTTTCAAAATAATCCATTAAAACCTTTTAAAACATTCACTGGAACTGTTTTAATCGATATATCTTCGAATTAATCGATTATTTTCATTAAAGGAGTTTTTGAAAACCTTCTGCCAGTATTTTAACTGATATAGATTTGAAATAATCGATTAAAATTACTTAAAATGTTTTAGAAAGTGTTATGGTAGTATTTTAATTGATACAAACTCGAAATAATCGATTAAAATAACTTGAAGTATTTTTAAATATGTTCTGTCAGTATTTTAATTGATGTAATCTCGAATTAATCGATTAAAATCACTTGAAAGGTTTTGAAAGAAGTTCTGTCAGGATTTTAATCGATGTGTTATTAGTTAAAATCACTTAGAAAGTTTTATGAAAATATTTGGCAGGATTTTAATCGATTAAATGTGAATTAATCGATTAAAACAACTGAGATTTTTTCCAAAGTGTTTTAATCGATTAAAACAGACTATTATCAGTTAAAATCACTTAGAAAGTTTTATGAAAAGATTTGGCAGTATTTTAATCAATTCAAAGGCGAATTAATCGATTAAAACAACTTAAGGGATTTTTTACAAAGTGTTTTAATCGATTGAAACAATGTCGCATAAGTTAAAACAAATATGGAAAATGATCAAGAACATTTTAACAGATTAAAAGAAGTTTTAACAGATTAATTCAACACTTTTAACAAATTAAAATATTGTTTTAATAGATTAATTAAACCAGTAGTTAGAACAATTCTCTATATAAACAAAATTGCTTGAGTCTTTTAATATAGACTTTTGAGCAATCAATCAAGCAATCATAAGAGCTACTTTCAAGAAAGAATCACGCAAGTTTTGTGAAGTTTTTCAAAGTTCTTTCTTGAGGCAATTTCTGCATTTCTTTTGTAATGAAACTCATTCTACAGAGCTGCATAATCCTGGTTTGAGTGTTCTAGTTTCTTCTCTTTTGTTTCTTTACATTTCATTACTGTATTGTGGGTGTCTGGAAGTGTGGGCACTTGTTTCTGTTGCTGGAATTTGGCTGCAGGGTGGTTCAAGAACTGGAAGTTGGTTCTTGGTGAAGGTTTAGGTGCAAGGACTGGAATTTTGATTTTTATGGTAGATTGGGTGTGTGATTGGAATCTGTAATCTGTAAAACATTCAATCTAGAGG